TTCCCCACCAGTCGAAAAGAAGGCTTCAACTTCACACAGCAGAAATACTTCTGAGGAGGAGAAATACACCTGGAGAGGAACCCTCAGCAGCGGGATGAGGCTACCAGCTGGAAGTAAACGGTTGGCGGTTGTCACTTTTTGTCTTTCCTTTGCTCTACCTTCTTTAACTGCTTTCTGCTTCTTACGGTTTGCTTGTGTATTGGCTTTAAACTCTTAAGATCAGATTGCGCCTACTTTAACTTTGAAATAGCACCTAGAGCATGTTTTAGGTGCTACGTGTAATTTTACAAAATGATCTCAAATCCGTAAGAGTGAATTGAGATAATATTCCATGCCAAAATGGTAAGAGGAAAAATTCTTCGAAAATGCTAAGGGGCCTGTTTGAATGGGGTAACAGACAGGGATTTTTTTCCCCCGGACTTCCATCTGGAAGCTTACAGAAAGACAGCAGAGTCCAGCGTGAGGTTTGCAGGAGGTATGGTGCGGCAGCCTCGCTGCTGCCAGCATTTCCCCACAAGGCACCTTCGCCCACAGACAAACCACAGCAGCAAAAGGCACTTCATTATTGCTCCACCGAAGAGAAGGGAGGGAGGATTTTAAACAACCTGCATTGTGCCCGTCTTCTTTAAAAACCAGCGGGGTAATCAAGTTCAGGGCAGCCCCGGACAGCTGCCCTGTGACCTATTCATGCTGACCCCCGCTATTCATCACTTTCCTTAGGACTATGAGGGCAAGCTCCCGGGGAGTGACCACCACAATAGACAGATACGAGCCAACAATAATACGGTTCCTGCAAAAAAAACAGATGGCACTGCAATAAATTTACAAATCTGCATTCATGGCTCTGTTAAAAACACCCAGAAGCTAAAAGGCTGGAGGGGCCCCCAGAGAGCTTCCCCTTCCCAGTTTCTAAAGGCCAGCTCTCTCCCCAAGACTATTGAGCTCATGTTCTTCATAAATGAAGAATGGAGACATAGCCCTTAAAATAACAAATGCCTGACCTAATCAATCTAGTGTTTGGGTCTAACGCTAAATGATAGGCACTGAAAACTAATTATGTTTTTTGGCAAGAAAGTTGAATTAAAATGGAAACACACAGGTTAAAAAGGCACTGAAGCATTTGCGAGTCCCTTTGAAAGGGCGGCACACACACACGCACACATGCTCACACACAGGCTTGAAACAGGAACCTGATTCAATAACTCATGCATTTATTTTTAAAATGAATCAGATTAGTCCCATGTGTGACCTGCCGGTCCATCTGTATGAGCTGGACTTAATGGGCACTCTTCTCACGCTTACTTCAGTTTGAAGTATGAGAGAGATAAATTTAGTTTAATTTTCAACAGATCAAGCTATCCATTTTCCAAATGGACCATCTGGATCAGCCTATTAAAATTAATTTATAACTTTGCAGTGTGAAAATTCGTTTGTTAGCTTAAATAAAGTTGCCAAAAACTTTTGTCACTTGTCATTGTTTTTTCTGAAGTCTGTTTTCATACTATGATTTTCAGTTTACCCCTTCAAAATTCAATTTTGTCAGATCAAGCACTCAACAAGAACTGAATGTTTGCATCCTTACTGTCATAGCATAGATCTTAGATCTTTTCACAGTTCCAGCCAACAGCATCAAGTTCATTGTCTTTTTCTGTTTCTTTTCCCAGTGTTAATCTCTATGTCTCTCCTGCCTTCCTGCCCCTCAGGCACCTAAGAGTGGCCATGCCTCCCACTTCCAGCAAGCCAAGGACACAGCTCCACTTGTTGAGACTTCTGAAGACACCCTTCGCCAAAAACCATTTTAATCAAAAGAAGAATGATATTTCTCCTAGTAAGAGGTCCATAGCACTGAGCAATGGGTGCCTTCAGCCCCTGCTTACAACTTCAGACGCTTAAGTAACCATTACACCTTCTTATTACCTCCATCTTCTGGTATGTCTGTTCCACAAACCCACCTGAGAAAACATTAATGGCTAAGGCTGCACACCAGCACAGCAAACAAGGCAAGAAAAGGTAATGTACCTTTACTTAAACTTGCTAGCAGCTCAACATGTCGAGACATCATACTTCCCCTGAAGTGGTCTGATGCATCTTATTCATTTTCTAAAACCAGTCAAAAAGTACTAAACATGTGGCAAGTTTCATTGGAAAGACCATTTAAGTAAACAGACTTCTCCTCTCCCCACATTCACACATTCAATTCTTCTGTGCATGTAGGTCCATGTTCCCCAATAATGAAATTTTAACAGCACTGTCTTAAGGGAGGGACAGAAAGTATGAAATTGTACACTCATTATTTACCAAGTTAGCATCTTTCCGCTAAGGTACTAGTACAGAATTCAGCACTTTTTGTGTATTATTGCTTTGACAGCATTTGCAGGTCAGATCTTTTTTGGTTTACAAAGTATGGATAGGTGTAAGACAGGGTAGCCACTCCGCACGCCTTCCTGGAGGAGATGCAGCTCTTTCCAGTAAGTTTCACTCTACTCATTGATTAGGACAGAAGAAAGCACATGGCTGCATATGTGTCTGTTTCCTGCACCTAGAGTTGGAAAACTCCCCACTGCTTCTTGTCCATCACTAATAGAGGAGCAATCTGAGTTTCCAAAATGCACTGATGGCTTCTATTTATGCCTACATAAAGAACCAGAATTCCTTCTACCACAGGCTAAAAATTGTGGTCAACCACCTCCTTTGATCTAGACAAGAGGGCACTTGCTTTAAGACTACAGCTTAAACTTGCCCACAAACACTGTTCTCAACACAAAAGGCTCCAGATAGCAATCAGAAGACCCAAGGATTTTGTCCTGCATCTGTCACTGTAAAGACTGGACACAAAGATGGAGACTGATACAACATCTCAACAATATCCTGAAACACAGCTAACCATCTTTGTCATAAACAACGTCCATGTGAATTACTTCCGATATGAAATATTTGGACAGTACAAGTGGTTTTTCAGGTGTATTCTTGATATCTAGACACCTTGGTTACAATGAATTGTGGGTCTGTGGGAAAGACAGCTTTCCACGGACACTAAGAATATTTCTGCAGATTGAAATACAATGGAAAGGAAACGCAACTCAAGAAACCATACCTTCTTGATCTGTATAATACTACTCATGAGTATTTGTATCCTCCTTAACCAACAGTCATGAGGAAGGACTCAATGCGATGCAAAGGCACACAACACAGGTAACTTGTGCTCCTTTGGACTTAACATCTCTTACTATTAACTTTTTCTTGGAGAAGAGACAGATGCCTTTTCTTGTTGAACCTGAAGGCTTGCCATCAATAAACAACTCTAAGAGGAAAAAACCAGCCAACAAGGTGCCCAGCACACCAGAAAACTATCTTGGGGATACACAGTAGGAACCTGGTAGCTTTGCCCTTTTCCTCTAGCTCTTGTTGTTTGTTGCTGAATGCCAGAAACATTTTAAGTTTGGTGTAACATATTTAATCAATTCTACAAGGTAATTTTCTCAACAATATCTGGGACCTAACTCATTATCATAGCATATTGCCTCTTGTCTAAAAGACTTACATGGTCTGTTAGATGGACCTGCCTTAGCCACAGGGAGTCCTTCACATGACACTCCCACAAAATCAAGCACTCCTAACACAATACACTATTTAAAACAAAACAAAACAAAACAAAACAAAACAAAACAAAACAAAACAAAACCACCTCACAAAACTAACTTTGAGCACAAACACGCTATATCAAAAAGGTTTTCCTTTCTTTACCATGGTTTTGACCCACAATTCCTCTTGGAAATAGCAGCAGTGGGGCAGTGTATTACCACCCTATTCCTCTGTCTAAAACAAAACAAAACAAAACAAAACAAAACAAAACAAAACAAAACAAAACAAAACAAAACAAAACAAAACAAAACAAAAACACAATACACTATTTAAAACAAAACAAAACAAAACAAAACAAAACAAAACAAAACAAAACAAAACAAAACAAAACCACCCCACCACACCTCACAAAACTAACTTTGAGCACAAACACGCTATATCAAAAAGGTATTCCTTTCTTTACCATGGTTTTGACCCACAATTCCTCTTGGAAATAGCAGCAGTGGGGCAGTGTATTACCACCCTATTCCTCTGTCTGAGACTGCTGCTCCTGTAGCTGAGATGCAGAAGGAAATGTGCCAGTTCCTCAGCTGCTGCAATGTGTGGCCTGGGGTATTCACTTAAGTCACCTTCATTAATGGTTTTACTCTGATACACCAGGCAGCAAACTTGGGCAGCTGAGGCATGGACATATTTTTGCTTCTGCCACCTGAAGGTTGCAGTGGGAAGAAAGAGCAAGGTGCTATGTACAGCAGGATCCGAAATCACTAAATCAACTTAAATCCCCCAGAAATCACAAGCCGGGCCCCCTTTGTTGACCATGGGTATTTAAAAAGTGATTCTTTTGAATTGGTAAGAAGTTTGCTTTACTATATATAAAAGGCAAAGAGATTGTGTTTTATCAGCCCACCCTTTCTCCTTTCTACCCGTTAGTAATTTATACGAGTGTTGAAGAAACAAAAGCAGATCATTTTTCAGGTTATTAACCTGGACATCACCTCCAAGAAAATTTACCTTCAAGGGTAATGAAAAGCTTAATTGTTCCAGAACACTTTGAGATTCTTGAACGCATGATCATCTAAAGCAAGGCAAAATATACTACAAACGAGACAGGAACGGTTACAGAAGACAGGGCTGAAGAGGTCTTGATGAACACCAAATGGAGAAAGGTAAAACTAGAGAGTCACAGCTGACTACACTATGCAGCAGTCTAGATTTCTTTAGAAAGAGTTATCAGACTCTCCTGAAAGCTAAATCTATGTGTCTGATTTTCCTGGGTACAATGTGACTCATTCAGACTTCAAAGGAGAAAAGAAAGGATTTCCATGAGCACAAGTCAGACTTCAGCTTCCAGAAGCATTTAAGGATTCAAATAGCTAGAAAGTGTTATTGCATTTTTAAAGAGACTGATCACATACCTGTCTAAGTGAATTCTTCTCGGGAATGATCTTCCTAGGGGGCTCATCATTATTACAGTCTTCTCTCTCAGAGGAATTCTGTGAAAGAAAGTAAGCTTTAATTCAGTTCTTATCCCTAATATTACTCTGTGAGGAGAAAAGCAGCAGAGTATTTGTACTACACAGGCTGTAGTATTTTACGCATACACATACCAGAGGCTAACTTGTACTTTTAAGCCAAACAGCTTGTTATGGCAGAGAAAGAATTTCTCCTCCTCAACACAACAATGTACCACTGTGCGGGTATCTGTTGAAGAAGCCTGTACTTTGGGGTTTTATTCTGAAACTACCAACGATGGCCACTTTGAAAAGCTGAAACAGTGGTTGGATCAGCATGGCAACACCAGTGCTCCTGAACACCCCAGAATAACTATTTAAAACAGTGGAACCTGTTGAAAACAAAAGGTTGTTAATGGGTGCAACTGTTGTTCTCTGTACCCCTATGCTTTTAATCTGCCTAACAATTATTAATTGCACTGAGTCTGCTTGGCTGCCAAAAATCATAGAGAAATTATGATAGAGCTAAATTCTGGTAAGAGAGGTTGTCAGGAGATCCTGACAAAAAAAAAAAAAAAAAAAAAAGAAATAAAAGAAAAATAATTGTGTAGGTAGCGTACAGTATCATGGCTATGTTTTTGACTCCTGCCCCAACTCTACATACATGTACAATTTCTAGAAAAACTGATGCTCCAAAACTTAAGCTGCCACCTCCAAAAAAAGAGCATCCGTAACACAAGAGATGGTGGGCAAGAAGAAATACAAGGGCTTTTCCAGCATGAGTAAGAAAGACCACCAGGAGACTTTTGTCCTGTTAACCTCATGATTAAAACCAGTTATTACTTGCTTTAGAGTAAAGACAGGCTATAGTTTATCTCAGGACATGCACAGTCTGTAGCAAACATTTGGTTAAAAACTGCTGGGTACGTGGGGGGAATCCTGTCCTCACTGCCAAAGTCAGCTACTCTGGAAGACAGCGTTCCTTTGCACGGGTTCGGCCACCGCGCTGACAGAGTAATGACAGCCAGCTTTGGGGGAATCCCACACACACATCTAAAATCAGTTTGATCACCACAGTATTCATAGCCTTAGGCTACATTCCCAGGCATTCAGTAGTGAGCAACTAAACAGGTTTTAAAGAGATACAGAAAAACTGCTTAGGGAGAGCTCTGCCAGGAAAAGGGTGGTTTTCTAGTTACTTGCAGACAAGCTCAGGAGCGTGTATATTAAGGCAGAAGTTTGCATTCTGTACCTTTCTCCCCTTGTCCCCCAAATAACCTGTCCTTCGCTGAGCACGGCTCTGCCCGGCTTCTCGCAGAGCCAGCTTCCAGCCCAACACCTCAGGAGACAGAAGTGGCATCTGTTGGCAAAGGAGGAGCTGGGCCCTGCGAACAGCCAGCGTGGCAGAGCAGGGCTAGCAGAAAGCAAGCAGACTGCGGGAAGCCATCAGAAGAGCAGTGTGCTCGTGTGCCCACTGCAGTGCTGCGTGATCAGGCACCGTCTAGGCAGCTCAGGTTTGCTGGTCTGGTGAAGGGGAAGAAAAGGTACAGCCAGGGCAAGGGTAGAAGCTGTTTGCTGAGAAATGGCAGATAAGGAAAAAAAAAAACCCAACCAAAAGACCCCACTTGGGATGTCATAAATTGGCCGGGAGGATTCTGTGTAAATCAAGGCTTGCAGACCAACCGGTGATTTTTGAGTTTGTTTTTTTTTTAAACAAGATATAGAACCCACAAGGCACCATGACATCTGGGATGCTGTAACCAGGGCTTTATAATGGAAATCAATCCTAAGCAGGCCTGATAAATCGCTGTAAGAGGCCAGCTTTTAAAAGTTTTCATATGAGGTCTCAGCCAGGACCAAGTTATCACATTAAATCCAGCTTAGAAAGGACTGTGATCGTAAAAAACATATAAGCTAGAATCACGGATCTCCAAAAGGGAAGGTCAGACATTAAAGCTGCTCTTTTTTGCTCACGAAATATAGTTTAGTAAGTGGCTAACTCAAGTAAGGATTCTAATTTTTGCACTTTGAAGAAAAAGACCAAGTGCAAGAAACATAAGAATCTGAGGTGGGTTACTATACATTTCCAGAAAATGCATTTTGTTGGGGAGGGTGAGGGGGTTGTTTACTATTTCTGGATGCTTTTTCAACATCCACCCCCTTCCCTACAATAAGTGCCAAAACGATTTCCCCTTCCAAATAATCTTTCTACGACAGTGAAATCTTGCATTCTTCTTTCAAAGCCATTAAGGATCCTCCCTCAAAAAGCCAGAAAATCAGTGCTGCTGGTGAACCGTCAGCCCTTTTTTTGAAATTTCTAGTTACCGCAAAGCATCAAGTTACCTACTTTTTTCTTTAAGCTGAGCATCTAATTTTAAGAGCAAGCAGAGGACCATTTTGCATTCATTATCTTTATAGGTGGCAAGGCTAAGAGGTTGGCTGAACAAAGACCAGACAAAGACTGCCAAGTGCATATGGTGGTTCACAGCTTGGCGTCTCACCATTCTACAGCACCAACACAGCAGCTCCGATAGCAGACTATTAAAGAGGAGCGCTGCTCATGCACTTTTGTCGACAAGTAAGTTACGCTTGGTGAAGACAGAATGACTGAAAAGCATTACACTTAAGAAAAAGCACAGATGTTTATAACTCCCGCTCATTTCTCAAGAATAGGAAACCCATCAATCCAGGTGCAGGTACAAGACCCTGCATATTTCAGGACTAACCGTAGCTGCGTGGAAGTGAATTTCACTTGATAGGGCAACACTTAGCCGTGGCCATGGGAAGAGCATAACGTAATCGACTGAAACGGTACATCTATATATTTCTCCTTGCTGAACAAGGTGGGAGGAGGGATAAACACGTGCGAGGTCAGAATAAGGTTTGCTT